ACCCCTGCTCTATTGGATTCGGGTCAGGTGATTGGCTGTGCCGTTCTACAGCTTGATTTTCTTCCTCTTAAAGCATTTGAGAGTCTCCTCGGCTGTGTTGTGGATCATTGTCTTGCTGAAATGCCCATCTTCATCCTCCTGTTAATGTAGATGTTGGACTGAAGCAGCTGATGTTAATTTACACTGAGGAAGGGCAGAGGCTTGCTGGAAAACTTCTGAGAGATTTCAGCTGCTGTCTGGGCTTTCACTGCACCTCCCTTTCTTCATGTGTTCAATACTTTTTCCCTGTGTCATTTCATTTTATTAGACAGAACTTCTTTTCTAAACTAATAGGGTATATGCTGAGTTAGTGCTGTTCCCATGCTGATACACTTTCGGTGACCTGCTATTGTGAACTTTTTCTCATTTTATACGGTTCCTTGTACAGCATCGATGTTGTAATGTCATTAAAAATACATTCAGTTAAATAAACTTTAGCATTTATTTAGTTGCTCAAGTGTAAAACGAGACAAAAAGCCGTTTGCTCGCAAGTGCCCGTCAGAATCGGCAGGCTAACGCAGAAGCTCCATTGAATATACTGGGGTAAAATAAATGCTCATATTATAAAGACATGGCGGGGGAGATGTAATTTAATGCGGTGCTTCTTGTACAATCTCAGAACCACTTTAAATCGGATATCACTCAGCCAGTGGAGATCGCTGATTTTTAAAGAAAACAGCCCTTAAACGCACCGGATTTCGCATTGCCATTCAATTCGCCGGAAGCGCTTAACCCAGGTTAATGGCAAATTAAAAGTCCTATTAGCATGCTTCGGCATATACCCCATTAGATTTGTTTTCTTTGCATATATGGATTTATTGGTTGTTATTAACATCCGGTGAAAATTTCAAGTCAACAGCACCTTTAGTTTTCTGAGAAAAATGTCGACATGTTCAGTACTCAGTTTCTCCACTGTATATGACCCTGGACTACAAAACAAGTGGGTCAAAATAATTGATGTTTTTAATGCCAAAAACATTAGACTATCAAGAAAAGATTGTTCTCCATGAAAAGATTTCTGAGTCCTCTGCTGTAAGTATATTGAGTTTTTGATTACTTTTTGACTTTAAAAGATTTATTTTTTGAACAATATGATTTGACATTTTTAAATAGTTGCATCTTTGCCAGATATTATTGTGCCATCCTGACAAACGATATATCACTGGAAAGCTCATTTACTCGTTTTTGATTGTGATTTTCATGCGGTTGTTCGTCTTCCTGTAGTTTGTTCTCAGAGTCTTTCTCCTCCATCCACAAAACACTGAGCTGCTCTTTGGACTCGACGAGACGTCCTGACAACAGGGTAAATTTTACTGTCTGTATCCACTACAATAATGGAAAATATACCCTTGCATACTGATATATATATATATATATATACTCACTTGCCACTTTATTAGGTAGACCTTACTAGTAGCGGGTTGGACCCCATTTTGCCTTCGAACTGCCTTAAACCTTTGTGGCATAGATTCAACAAGATACTGGAAATATTAGTCCATATTGACATGATAGCATCACGCAGTTGTTGCAGATTTGTTGGCTGCACATCCATGCCAATCTCCCGATCTACCACATCCCAAATGTGCTTTATTGGATTGAGATCTGGTGACTCTGGAGGCCATTTGAGTACAGTGAACTCATTATCATGTTCAGGAAACCAGCTTAAGGTGATTGGCGTCTTACATGGCACATCATCCTGGTTGTTGACACCAAATTGTGAGCCGAGCATCTGAATGTGTCAGCAGAAATGGAGACTCATCAGAGCAGCAACGTTTCTCCAATCTTCTATTGTCCAGTTTTGGTGAGTCTGTGTGAATTGTAGCCTCAGTTTCCTGTTCTTAGCTGACAGGAGCGGCACCCGGTGTGCTCTTCTGCTGCTGTAGCCCATCCGCCTCAAGGTTGGATGTGTTGTGTGTTCAGAGATGCTCTTCTGCAGAGCTCGGTTGTAACGAGTGCTTATTTGAGTTACTGTTGCCTTTCTTTCAGCTGGAACAAGTCTGGCCATTCTCCTCTGACCTCATCAACAAGGCATTTGCGCCCACAGAACTGCCGCTCACTGGATATTTCCTCTTTGTTGGACCATTCTCTGTAAACCCTAGAGATGGTTGTGCGTGAAAATCCCAGTAGATCAGCAGTTTCTGAAATACTCAGAGCAGCCTGTCTGGCACCAACAACCATGCCCCGCTTAAAATCACTTAATTCCCCTTTCTTCCCCATTCTGATGCTCGCTTTAAACTACAGCAGATCATCTTGACCATGTCTACATGCCTAAATGCATTGAGCTGCTGCCATGTGATTGGCTGATTAGAAATTTGCGTTAGTGAGCAGTTGGACAGGTGTACCTAATAAAGTGGCCGGTGAGTGTATATATGTATAATTTTTTTAAATATTTTTAAAGAAAGTGTTTTATTATTATTATTTAAAGCATTTTGCATTTAATTAAAGAATTAATAAGCTTCTGGCTCAGAATTGTTCTGTTTTCGGGCCAGTATCCATGTAATAAGCGTGATAAAGTACATCCAGGCGGTTGTTTTGGCAGAGTAAGCCGTTCAGTCTTATACAACACTGCTCAGCTTCACATCGTGCTGCTGATAAACCAGTCAGACTCTACTCTGAGAGAACTCCCTCCTGCATGTACTTTATCCCCATCATAAGTAATGGAGCATTATTGTAAAGTGTGATCTGCTGAGCTGCGCTATGTTGTGAGCGCATCTTCATCCGGCGAGGGCTTCAGCGTTTCCCACTGTCCTTTGGGGTGAGGTAGTAGGTTGTATAGTTTTAGGGTGACACCCTTCCTGTTAGATAACTATACAACTTACTGTCTTTCCTGAAGAGGCTGTAATATCACCGCCATCAACATCAGCTCTCCACAATCCACAGCATCCATCGGGCAAAATAGTCCAACTCTGGGATCCGTCGTCTGAATGATTCCATCAAGGGCTGCACGATAGTGGATAAAACTAATGAAGACTGCAATGTTTCGTTTATCTCTGATTATATATTGCGATGTGAATATAATCTCACCAAATGACTAGAGTAGCTCTTTCTGTCTTTTTTAATTCATCGTTTTAGTGCTGTCAAACAATTAATGATGAAATAAAAGTTTATACGTACAAATGCTCGGTTCCACACAGACATGGGACAATAACCATGTTCAACGTGGTTTGGAAAAGTCAAGGTTTTAAAACCGCCAACTTTTTCTGCTATACCGTTTTTTATTTACAT